ATGGCGGATATGTGAGACGGACGGACTGGTAGAGAAAGGAGTTCAATCACTGTCTAACCTGTGCAGTGGGTTTAATCAGTGACATTATTAATAGATTTACTATCCGACGTCTTCTCCACGACCTGCTTCCCTTGTGTTTTTACACGTAGAAAAGGCAAAAAAACATATTGCATTGTCCAGTTTTCTCTCAGAAAGATTATCTGAGTTACTATTGCAATTCTGGATGCAGCATGAATGACATACAATGGTGACATTTTTCACAATCACGACAGAAAATCAAAATACTGCCCTAAACTCAATAGCGGAAAGGCAGCACGATCCTCCCAGTATGGGTGACTGGCAACAGCTGGTCTTAAATTTTTTTAAATACGACTCCTGGTATTTCCAGTTGAGCCGCCGCCTGGATGATTCGAGGAGGAGGATTCCTTTCTTCCCGGATGTTCACGATCAAGTGGTGAAGTCGTGGTCTGCACCCCAGTCGGCACGCGTCCACTCTTCTACACAGGTCATGTTCTCCCATGTGGACGGGGCAAGGCACCAGTCTACGAACTTCGCTGAAAAAAACAGCTATAGTGACCGGAGAGATTCTTCACAAGTGTGCATTCAGGATGATGACTCTGGAGCAGATCCTGGCACAAATCCGTCCCGGGGACTGATTTGCATCCGTAGATCTGAAAGATGCACACTTTCATATTTTCATATCCACAGACGCTTCCTGAGGTTTGCTTTCGAGGGCACAGCATACTAGTACTCAGTGCTCCCATTCGGGCTCACTTTAGCCCCGTGCACATTCTTGAAGTAAATGCGGCACTTTCCCCTCTCCGAGCGAGCGGTATGCGCATTATAAACTATCTGGACGATTGGCTGATTTTAGCCCATTCAAGAGATGTGCTTGTCAGTCATACGGACACGCTGCTTCTTTGAAAATTCGAGTCCCGTGGAGAGCATGGACCGCGGGGAGTATACGCATCGAGGTCACACACAGCTGTGTCAGCGCTCTGAGGCCGTGGCGTGACCCAGAAATGTTCAGCAGGGGGTTCCCCTGTGACTAGTGACAGCACGCACTGTGGTCATGACAGATGCGTCGACCTCGGGCTGGGGAGTAGTGTACGAGGGCGTACCAGCCTCAGGCCAAAAACAAACCTTCAGGTCAAAAAATATATATAATTCTGTTATATGATCGCGTTTCCTCATATGCATTTCTGCCTGCGACTTAACTACAGTGAAAGCAAAGATGGACCAACAACTGCAACAAAAGTCGCTGTCTATTTGCCGGCCTCACTGCTGATATTTCTGATATGTAGACAACAAGCTGCTGCTGCTTCCGCTTTTGCCTTGATGTTGGTTTACAGCAGCGACGTTCCCGTGGACACTGCCTACTAGTGGTATGCATGTGTAATTGCACATCAACGTTGACAACGACGCAGAAGTATAAAGTATAAAACCGACGCATAGCCTACAGTGTAGAGGTCACGGTTTAGGTCCAACGCAGAAGTATAAATACCCTTTAAGCCCAAAGTATACTTTGGTTTTTACGTGTACGTGAGGGTCACACATAATGCGCGCGTGATGCAAATTTAATCGCCAGAATAGTGTGTGCACCATCCGATTTTTGTAACTGCACATACTTTCTACATGCAGGTTGCCCATGCACATTGACTTGTGAGAAAGTGGCAACTTTGTTAAAAGAGTAAAAAGACATTTTATCTGTCATAACGTTTGAAGAAAAATAGAGCAGACGCTGGACTAAGATAAAGCTTTCTAAAGCGCATGTGTCGACCACCTGTGTTCGTGCACGCTATCAAATGGAGTACTTTTATATGACTGTACGCATACGCTAGTGTACGTGTAAAAAAGTGAAGTATACTTTGGGCTTTAGGCTGGGCTGTGTAGCTGTAAGCATCTCTTAACTCTGTATCATGCTGGAAGAAAAACTTGGTCTCTGTTTGCATTTTGAATATTGAGAGAGTACTTTGATTATGGTTGCACTTATTGTTTGCAGTTAAGACTTAGAAAAAAACTTTTATTTCTTTTTGTTATTCTGTTTTTATTTCTATGTTCAATTTGTGGAAATGAGTTCAGTTAGGAGGTCACACAGCTTCAATCAGAAGTTCTAGAAGCTCATAATTCATGTACAGTTCTAAGGTCTGAAGAGACTCGTGTGAAATCATACAGAAGAGAAGCCAGTCAGTTGAGTTTGTGGCAAAACCTTTTACAGTGCTTCGTCTTTGTCTGTTGTTGTCTTTCACTGCATATGATAATTCATACTCAGAATGTAGAACTGAAATGACATTCATTACAAGATGATTAGGTAAAACATTTCAAAATGCTCCTGCAGGCTATTTTTCCAGTCATGTATTTTGTAATTGAAGATTTCTTAAAAATCTGTGTAAAAATGATTTGAATATGTGCAAAGGATTGTGGGTGATTGAAGTATGTGAAAGATACACCTGCTGCATCCTTCAAAACGAGTCGAATGAAGGACGTCAAACAAAGTCTGTGGACAGTTTTTTAGAGAAGAGTGAGCAGATGTTCTGATGGACAACATTACACTGTAGACTATTCAAAGGCTATAAGAATATATTCTAGGAAGTTGGAGGTGGTAAAACACCATAATGAAGAAATATTCCCCTGATGATCACATTATTTTGTCCAACCCTTCTGTATAACTTGATACAGCAGCTGTTTGTTTTTGAGCGGATTACATAATCATGACAGATTGTGTCTAAATAGACACAAGTTATGAAATGTAAAAGCTGATTTGTTCTCACAGAGCATCATCATGGTGAACTGCTGTGGTCTCGTGTCTGAAAAAAATGAACCAGGTATAAACATCTCTTCTTTCTTAAAAACAAAGTGTAACTGTTTATATTTCATATTGTGTCTATTTCTTTGTAATTAGAGATGTTTGTTTTGAAGAGCATTGATGTTGAGATGTTTGTGTGTCTGTGACGCTTTTCTCTCAGTTCCTCTGAAGAGCATCTCGGTGGAGCTGCAGGTTCAGGATCACGTGGCGTCTGTCCGCTCCTGTCTGCAGTATGTGAATGAGGAGCAGCGTCCGCTGGAGGCCGTGTTCGTCTTCCCGCTGCCCGCCGACGCCGCCGTCTGCCACTTCAGCGCCAGGATCGGAGAGCAGGAGATCAGGGCCGAGCTGCAGGACCGACAGAGCGTGAGTCTGCATCTTTCTCTGATGTGTCTGATTGTGTTGGAGTGTGTGGATACGGATGAGTTTGTCTCTCGCAGGCGCGGGATCAGTATGATGATGCTGTGAGCTCGGGGCAGCAGGCGTTTCTGCTGGAAGAGAGCGAGGAGAGTTCAGATGTGTTCAGACTGAGTGTGGGCTGTTTGTCTCCGGGTCAGAACGCCTCCATCAGCATCGTCTACATCATCGAGCTCAGCATCCAGGCCGATCACGCGCTGCGCTTCTGTCTGCCGGCTGTACTCAACCCACGATACACACCAGCAGGTGATCCTTACTGATCTCAGGAACAACATGTATTGATATGTTGATGAATAACTCAAGATCATAACCCTGTACAGGCCACAGCAGTGACTGTCCACATCTTCTGTAGCTTAATTACAGAAGTATTTTCTAATATACTGATCCACTGCTCAAGAAACATTTCTGATTATCATCACTGTTGAAAACATTGTGTTAAGTCAGAAGATGAAATTACATTTTTTATTCATGAATTTAATATGAAAATTAAATTAATCAAAAGTGACAGTAAAGAAATGTAAAATGTTTCAAAAGATTTCTATTTTAAATAAATGATGTTCTTTTAAACATTAGGTTTGGAGTCTCAGGTCCGGCAGGAATTGTCGGTGGGGGGAGTGTGTGTGTGTGTGTGTTCACTTGGCTACAGATCACGTTCACTTTCAATTCTCAACCAATCAGCTGCGGCCTAAACCAGCCTGATGCCCAGGTCACTTCCAGTCAGAACAGAAGCTGCTGTTGGGCTCTAGATTGATGCTGAGTTATAAAGTATCTTTGTTTGTCTGTGTGATTCTCTCAGCTTCAGCAGCCGGTGTAGTTCCAGAAGTTTCCTCAGCATCTGTTATTCCTTACACTCTGTCTCTGAGTGTTGAAGTGAGATCTTCAGACCGCATCTCCAGACTCGAGTCCAGCTGCGCTCTGGATCCTCTGGAGTTCCTCGACGTGCAACACACTCACGCCATGGTACTGTGTGTGTTTCTCTGTGTGTGTGTGTGTGTGTGTGTGAGAGAGAGTGTGAGTGAGTGAGTGTGTGTGTTTCTCTTTGTGTGTGTGTGTCTGTGTGTGTGTGTACAGTTTTTATGCACTTAATGTCTCAATTTCAAGAAGCCTATAATCATGTGTGTTCATGTGTGTGTAGGTGAATCTGAGTGCTGGTCACCGGTTCGATAAGGATGTGGAGCTGTTTCTGTATTATGAGAATTCCCATCAGCCCTCTGCTGTAGTCGAGGCAGCAGCGTCTGCGGCTCAGTCAGGTACAACTCTGAACAATCCAGTGCAAATATCAGTGAAACATGGAAGATATGATGCTTTTGTTTGTGCATGAATTCAGTTTGGTGTAAGTATAATGTGAGTTAAAGCCAGTAAACTCTGTGTGATTTTTACAGTCCTTTACAGTTGTCGCTTGTCAGAATGTATATGATCTCAATAAGATTTTGGATAAAAGTCGTGTCACGCTGTGTGACATCTGTGTTTTTCTATGTCATACTGTATGTTACACATCGTAAGACCTCAGTTCCAGTCAAGCTCATAGGAGAGAATCACACTGCAATGTAAAATTGCCAGAATTTCTTCATAAAGGCTATTATTTGACTATTGGTGTTCATGTCTCACTATTTGATCAAAGAATGCTGATTTTGCCCTACACCAGAAGTCGACAGGTTCAGCACGGCCAGCACACCCACACTCAAAGATTCCTTCAGGAAAACAAACAGAGATCATTTACTACTCTCTCTTCTCTCTCAGCTGTTCATCTTCACTGATGGAGAGGTGTGGAACACTAAGGAGGTGCTGGATCTGGTGAAGAGTCACGTTTCCTCTCACAGGTGTGTTTACTCGACAGGTTCAGCACAGCCAGCACACCCACACTCAAAGATTCCTTCAGGAAAACAAACAGAGATCATTTACTACTCTCTCTTCTCTCTCAGCTGTTCATCTTCACTGATGGAGAGGTGTGGAACACTAAGGAGGTGCTGGATCTGGTGAAGAGTCACGTTTACTCTCACAGGTGTGTTCACTCGTCTCAGTCCTCCTCATTTACTGATCTCATGTCAGGCGGTCAGCACTGGAGCTGCTCTTGTGTCTGCAGGTGCTTCTCCTTCGGGATCGGTGAGGGTGCGAGTACGGCTCTCATCACAGGAATGGCCAGAGAAGGTTCTGGTCACGCTCAGTTCATCACAGGCACTGACCGCATGCAGCCCAAAGTAAGACCTGCTGTGGAAACAGACTGGATAGAGTCAGTGCAAGATGTTTAGGGTGTTTATTTACGAGCCTCTCTTCTCCGTCAGGTGATGCAGTCGCTCAGGTTTGCTCTCCAGCCGGCCGTGGATAATATCTCTGTGGACTGGACCGTTCCTGAAGGCGTGACGGTGGACATGCTGTCCCCACCCATCAATACTCTGTTCCAGGGTCAGAGGGCGCTCATCTACGCTCAGATTAAAGGACAGGTGAAAGCTTTGAATAATTTTATCTAATGGGCGTCATTCATTTGTTTAAACCAAGGGCTGCAAGCAGACCGCAGGCCGAATCCAACATGTCAGTCGTTTTTGAGTGGCTTTGTGATTTAAGAAAAAATTGATTTGTCCTAACCCAGATGTGATGTGATAAAAGTAGGGCCGACTATTCAAGATAAACCCAAGTTAAATGTCTATTGAAAAACAAGCAGTTTTCAAAGCATAATACAACATGTGGAAATGGCAGGCTAAGAGGCTTAGTCGACAAAAAATTTATTCTGCCGTGCAAAGGCGAAAGGCCGTAACTTAGTTTTTGGTCGACCTCCTTTATCATGTGGATAAGTCTCTTTATTCAATCTTGTTGTTTTTGCGAGAAATTAATGGGTTATCTTAACAGCAACTTCGAAAAGCCCAGAAGAAACCAAGGCAGAACACCGTATATTACCAGTTACCGCTCTTTGACTTTGTTTTGGAGCGCTCAAATTGAGGTACGGTGCTCTGCCTTTGTTTAGCCGTGCGTCAGTATGAAGTTACTGTGCTGGCCTGGAGTTATACAGTATTGTGCCTTTGTTTTACTGTTCATGAAAATTTGCTGCATTTAAATTATGGTGTAGCTTGTGTTATTTCATACATCTGTCACTGAAGCACTTCATTAGACAAACGAATTAGACATCACAATCTACCAAACTGCTCCATATAACAAAGCACTTTAAACAAGCAAAGAATTTTTTTTTATTATTATATATAAAATGCAGATTATTCACTCAGTGCCAGCCTGGGGCTGCCCACTTCTAGTTGCGCGTGTGTGGACTCGAATACCGTGACAGCGTAGCATGGTCACACATAAAATCAGTGGTAACAGTTCGCAATTAAATACATATCCTAACTTTTCTTGTAATCCGATAAAATCCATGGCAATGAACGTCATCGGACATGTTTAATTCAATTCAATTCAAGTTTATTTGTACAGCGCTTTTCACGATACAAATCATTGCAAAGCAACTTTACAGCAAATTAAGTTTCTACAATATTTAGTGGTAGCTTATCAGTGGTGACTGTCAGTTAATGTACATATGGCAGAAATGTACGGAAAAATCAATT